TTATTACATTAAAATTAAAGACCTATTCCATCAACTAATAGAGCTATTTTTTTAAAAGGTAGGGCAGAAAATGACTTATATACTTTTAAAATTTGCACAAAATTTAGGAGGTCTTTAGACCGAGCCAACTATATATATGCGAGGCTTGTTGAATTACAATAACAATAAAAAGTCATTGTTCGTTTTTTTCTACATGTTTATTATATGGGACAATTTGTAGATATTTAATGCGCTAGATGATAGACAAACATCTTTGCAAGAAAGTAGTTATTATTATTATTATATTGTAATAATATACAAAGAAAAAGTTCATAAATAAATTAAATTAAATTACAATTCGCAAAGAAGAATAATAATAACAACAACAATATTCCATTAATAATTCATTAAACTATTTAATTGATCCAATAATGCATCATCTACTTTACTTAGATAATTTATTCTAAACATTTCTGCTCCACCATTAATAGTTTCACATTCCTTTAATTTCAAATGTATAAATTGTATAAGATTTGTTGTATGTATTGGATCATTTTGTAATAACTATTCAAAAAAGAAAGTAAATCATCAATTATGATTTTCTTAAAAGTAAAAAAAACAACAAATAAATACTACTCACTATTCTTTTCCTTTTTGCTTCAGGTATAGTAAATTCTTCATCTTCACCTGAATCTTCTTGCCAATAGACCAATGCACTAAAAAATAATTATGATAAATGAAATTGCAAAATTTTTTTAATAATTTATCAACAAATAAAGGACAGAAACTTACTCTCCACCGCCAGACTCTTTAACTTCACTTAGTACATCACACCACACACCAATAAATTGTTGTAAACATTTTAATATCGCTGGGTTATCCGTTGCAATTAATGCAGCAAATGCCATTGCATTCAACTTTCTTTGTTTTGGATGTCCAATATTATCAAACTTGAAAATTATTGTACATTTTAATAAATCGTCATATAATATAATTATAATTACAATTTGCATACAAGATTACCTTATCCAACCAAATTTCTAATAATTTACTTAATATATCTGATTGAATCAAATTATATTGTTGTGCAGCTACATTGATAAATTGAAAAAATGTTTCAAGGTTATTAATCACCATTCTTGCAAGGATTGAAATATAACTGACCATAACATAAGGATACTCCTAATGGAAAAATAAATAAATGTTTATAACATTATATACAAATATATAAAGTAGGGAAATAAATATGATTATATGAAATACTTCGTTTCCAGAAAGCATAGTATTTAATAATTTCCATAATAGACCCGAACCAATTATTGATTCACCTAAAACCTGTATTGAACAACATTGCAAGATTGTATCTAATACATGAATAATAGAGCGACAGGCCTCAGGTTTTAAATCGCCCAACATCCTAGCAAAAGCATCTAATATTGGATGTGCATATGTCTAGATTATAGACGGATTTTAAATATAAATGGATTATTTAAATTAATTTTCTAATTTAACTTCCAAAAACAGTAAAAATAAAGATAATAACCTGAATTGATAAATCAGGTACTAAAACAATATAACTTTCAATTATTCTAAGAACTTTCTTTAATGTTTCAGATCCAAATTCCAATAATGTGATTGTTAATGGAACAAGACTAAACAAAGATTGTGTGCACTCCGTGACATTTTGTAATGTTGCCAACCAAAGATCTAATGCATCTTCTAAAAGATAAACATGTTCTTCCTATTTGATTAATTAATAAGTGTTATCATTATTCTAAATAATTCATTCATCACTACATAGTAACTAATAAATAACTCTACATACAGTATTAGGGTCGACACTGTATTGAATTATCGGAATTATAAATTCATGAAGCTTGGAAGATTGGTCTGATAAAGCCTTTTTAAATTATTTTTATTTAAAAAATTAATATTAAAAAATTTGGTACTAATGAAAGAATTGTATACAAACATGTGAACATATAAATAACAACTTACTTCAACTAGTTTTGTCAAAATTACAAGAATAGCAGGTTTGAACAAATGTTCATTATGAGCAGCTTGCCACATGGGTGGAAGTAAATTGGTAATCTTTTCGGCAAATGGAGCAATCTATGTCAAATAAAATATCTATAAGATAATTTATTTTATAAACTCGAAAAAAAATAATATAAAATAAAATGAAATAAAATAAAAACAAATACTAGTAATTCCATTCTTTCAACAATCTGAGAAAGACAATTTAAAATTTTCATTCTGGTATCAAATTGTTCCACCTCACCGATCATATTTGTTAAAAGTGTAATTGCTCGATCAAGATACGGAACAAATGCGTCAGAATCAAAATCCCATTCGCCAACACGTAAAGAATAGAATTAAGGACGTCAAATAATATAACAGTATTTATCGATTGATAAAATTTTTATTTTCTTTTACTTCAAAAGTAAGGATATATTCTTTTAAATTAATAGCTGCAGTCATTCTAACAACTAAATCTTCTTCAGGTCTCATTAAATACGTCATCACATCATATACTTTTGGTCGATTTTCTTTAGATAATTTAACACATACCCATCGCCCAATCAACCACGCTATACGACGACGAATTATTTTAAAACTAAAAATTAATAATAACAATATATCTTTATTAACTATTCATTTATTACAGTAAATTACATTGATTATTTGGATATATCAGAAATAATCAATCAATCAATTACCTAGGAACGTCATTTGCTGCTTCAATTAACAAATTATTTACAAGCCATGAATCAAAATCAAGCACATCATACAATTCGTGCGCACCAAGCCCGATTGCACAGTACACTGCGTCTTTAAATAACAAATCATTCATATGGATAGCTTTTAAATATAATAATTGTATTATAAAATTGTATTGATTAGTAAAAAAAAAATTTTTTCCTTTTAAAAAGAACATTATTAACATTAATCAGACGTGGCACTTTTATTTAATCCGCAACATAAATTTATATGTTTAAGAAAATCATCGTTAATTGTTATTAATCACATAATTACTATTTTTTATTTTAAAAAATTTTTTATTACTTACATGCAACAGTTTCAAGCATACTTAAAATTCTTGTTGATAATGGGTCACGATATTGTGATAAAAGATCCATAAAAACTCTTTCTGCACAAGGCTATATATATATATATATATAAAATAAACACGTAAAATAATTTTTATTATGCGATGTAACATTAGGATACTAAATGTCAAATTAAAGTGGAACCTTTTAGTTTTGTTTTATGAATTCTGTATTTTAATGATTTTTTTTTTTTTAAAAAAAATAACTTAATAATAATAGTAGTAATAGTAATAGTAATAGTAGTAATAATAATTACAAACAAAAGTATTCAATTATTTTTTTAAAAAGTCAAATTTATCAGAACATTCAAGAAATTAAATCATGTCAAATAGTAGTGATATTTCAAGTGTTCATAGTAATGAATCATCTGCATCATCATCTAGCATAAATGAAAAGCTGCATTCTGGATCAGAAGAATCTAACCAAAAAATATTAACAACTTTTGCTGGCTTTGCAGGGAATGTCAATAACATGCTAGGATCTGTTAGTATTCTAAGTTTTCATGAATTGTCTATCATCTATTATCAACCATTAATATTCAATCAAACCTTTTAAATTTTAGGCATCTATTCAACACCTGGAATTGTTTGGCAAACAGTACATAATTAGGATTTTTTAGTATTTTATTTAAAAAGCTAAACTTCAAAGCTCTTGATTAATTTATATGCAAAAATTTTTTTACAAAGGTTGATTCGCCTGGTATTGCATTGATTTTATGGATATTTGGTGGGTTCATAAGTTCATGTGGGTCATTAACTTATGTCGAGGTAAACTATATACATAACGTGAGATAACAATAATACAATTAAAATATTAATTTAAATTAATCTAAAAAGTTTGGAACAATAACTTTAGAAAGTGGCGGTGAAACTGGTTTTTTCAAGAAAGCATTTCCTGAACCAAGATTGCTTGCGAGTTATCTTTTTAGTTTTGCCTGGATTTGGTAAATTTAGATATATAGTAATAGAGTACATGTACAGATATTACATATCATTTAATTCTGATTTTTTTCTTCAATAATGTTTAGTGCGATAAGACCCGCATCTTTAGGAGCGGCATTACAGACAGTAGCACAATACTTTCTGTTTGCTATTATACCACATCCTCCTAAAGATACAAATGCAGAAAACTATTGTCAAGAATTATACCAATTTCATCAACGATTAAATCCAAATAATGAATGGGGGTTAAATTTTTGGTGAGTAATTTATTTTTATTGTATTTGAGATTGAGTGTATATGTTATTGATAATTATTATTATAGGATCTTAAAAATTATTGGAATAGCGGCGTTGGCGATTATCACGCTTTATCATATGCTTTCAAATGGGTTGGCCAATAAAATCAACCAAGCATTAGCAGTAGTTAAAATGTTAACTTTGATCGTCATAATAATTATTGGATTTGTTCAACTTATTAGAACAGATATCAGTAAACCAAATTGGCAAAATCCATTTCAAGATATAGAAAATCTTAAATTACCAAATCTTGCCAGCGCTTTGATTTCAGTATGTTAAATATATTAATTTGTTTTTTTTTTGCTTTTAAATTTGGAAAAGATTTTTACCTTTTTTGTTTGAAAAGGTTTTTTTTGCATACAATGGTTGGAACAATTTGAATTGTTGGTGTCTTTTATATTAATATTTTTTCACTTATCTGCTCGTTAATTTATTCTAATCAGCATATTACAATTTATTGATTATTAAAAAGACTCTTTGGATGAATTCAAAGACCCCAAAGGGAAATTGGTATACAGTAATAGTCTTAGCGTTACTGTTGTGACTATATTATGTAGGATTTTTTTTAATATTTCAACTAATTAAAATCAGTTTTGATTATATTCATAAAATTCATAAAATGGGATTTATATGTGCGTGTTTATGTTTATAGATGCTCTTACAAATGTTGCCTTCATCACAGTTGTGAAGTCTGAGGATGTAAATAAACCTGGAAAAGATTTTAATGAATTGATAGCGGGTACTTTTGCTAAAGAAATAGGCGGTGAAGATTTTGCAAGAGTATTATCTTTCTTTGTTGCTTTATCTGCTTTTGGTGCCGTATCTTCCATGACGTGGAGGTTTGTATGCTTAAATTTTTACATATTTTCTCTTGCAGAAATATATCTAACAAGAAATTTTGTTATTGTGATTACGCAGTGGATCACGTGTTATGGTTGAGGCTTCAAAAGACAATTTCATTCCAATTTTTTCTGGATTTTTAAGAAAATAGCATCATAAAAGATATACACCATACAATGCACTTCTAGTACAATTTGTCTGGTGTGTGATGGTATTTGTTATTCTTGGAGGAGCATTCTCTTCTGATGCATTCAAATTACTATCAGATTTTGCCACATATTTTGCATGGATTTTTTACTTTCTTGCTAGTGTTGGTTTATTGGTAAGTGTAAATAAATCATCTTTTTTTTTCTTTATATCACAATCGATACTCATCGATAATATTATTGTTATCTAATAAAACAGTGGCTTAGATACAAAGAACCAGAAATTCTTCGGCCATTCAAAGTTTGGATTGTATTAACAGTCATACTTGTATGTTCGGCAATATTTATAATTATTGGTAATGCAATCGAATTAGATATGCAACCAACACATCTTACACCCAATGCTGTTTGTCAAGAAGATGCAAAAACCATTAAAAATTACATAAAATCAATTATATGTATTGGATGTTTAATTGTCGGGACTGGTTGTTGGTATGTTAGTTATTTCAGGCCTGATAAGAATCTATCAATTAATAAAATCAATCAAATCAGTCGACAGAGTCAACTTAACTAATTATTTATTTCAAGATGATTTTTATATAGACGTTTTATAGACAATTTAGTAATTTAATTCTCAATAATTAATTATTAAATCTAATTTTGTAATATATTTATTATTTGTTGTCAAAAGACAAAGGATTTTTTTTGTTCTAAATTGGCATTAATTAAATACTGCGAATTCAGAACACGAATTTTTATTGGCCAATGACAAGTCTGCTCCCAAATAGTTTATATTGAAAAATCTTTATAATTATTAAATAACAATCACTGTCGATACCCTCTATCAGATCACATTCAAAAATTTTATTTATAAAAATAACCATTTCGTAATTCTTGGATGTACTATGGCAACATTTCATGCGCACATATAAATATAAAACTTTATCATCAACATAATTCATTTTTCTCATTTTAAAATGTATTCGAAATTTATGCCAACTTGGTTGTTTCAATTTACAAATTATGCTTATCAAACCTCAACCAGATATCAGACGTTAACTGATTTAGCATTTGTTTGGAGTGTGTTTTTTGCCTTCCCTTTATTCATATTCTTTATTTGGTCGATTGGATCTTTGATTGTTACCTTTAATATATGTATGTATATAGGCAAATTTTATCGTTTTTATTAGTATGTTAATATTATAAACCGATCGATTGATTAAATATTAATTATTATAGGGCTTTTTACTTATATCATGGTTAATAGTCTAACGATTGGAATTGGTATTATGACATTGTTCACAATTGGAGTAATCAATTTCATGATATCAATTTGTCTTGCAATTTATTTTAAAATGTTAAGATGGATGTTTTATTCAACAAGACAATTATTCAAATATTTTTGGAAACTTATTTCATAAATAAACGTAATGAGATCTTTTTAATCATCACACTTTTTCCAAAAAATAATAAATAATGTTTTAAGTAAAATTTCAATAAAGTGACAATATTAAAAATGGTTGCGTGGTGTAATGGTTAGCACCCAAGACTCTGAATCTTGTGATCCGAGTTCGAGTCTCGGCGCGACCTCATTTCTTTTGGTGGCGCAGATTTCTTCAATCACACGAATTTTAAAAGATTTGTGCAACTTCCTTAATAAGTTTCCTTTGGCTGATCCTTGAATTTTCTATCACGGTCGAATAAAAATCCTCCCAGTCTTGGAAAAAAATATTTCTTTATTATCCTATATACAATTAATTGGACCAGAATATGTGCAATTTCTAACTGCGACACTCGTAATGTTATGTGACACATATTTTCTGATTTTCCCCTTATTTCAATGGATTTTCTTTTATATATACAGAAATAGTTAATTTCGTACAAGAGGTAATGCTAATTCTTTTATAGGTAAAGATATTCAGCACGTATTTACTATAGTTATAATAGCAACAATATATGATTAAATTTTCATTGCCATCAACGCCAACATCAAAAACTTGGCCTCAGTAAGTAATATACAACAAACAGACCCGTTTGCACTGCAGCTTGGAAGTAATACGTAATATTATTTCAATACATATATAGAGTAGTTAAGGATTTCGAAGGTCAAGGGATAATAATAAGATGCGCGGAAATTCTTATTAATTAATTAATTAACACAAGTAAGAAACGAAACATTTGCCGTGTCATGACCACCTTCCAAAATCAGTAGGTTTCTCGCCGATTGTCTCCTTTTGCGTTTAGCCGCGCTTGATTTTTTCGGCTTTTGGCGCGATCAACGTTTTCACCATATTTGTGTCGTACGGCAAATGTTTCGTTTCTTAATAGATTCAAAACAAAACAATTGCAAGCGTTGCATGCAATGCTTTGCAAGGTGAGGAGAAGCATGATCAATGAACCAGTAAAATTCTAACTTTTTCAAACCTAATTTTTTGGGAAAGAAATTTTTATTTTTCTGAAATCGATCTACGTGATTCTTTATTGATCTTTTTTCCACGTGATGAACGTTTATCGTGCAATAATAATTTTTGTTTTTTCCAACCGAAGAGAACTATTTGGCAAGAATAAAAGTTTTATTTATTTACATTAAGAAGAGCTATTTAATTTCAACAATTGAATTAATTATTATTTTTTGTTATTTTATTTTATCATATATGCTACTAAGAATAACTTTTTGGTGGTGGCGAAGCATCTTTCTTTTTTCATTTGATATTTAGTCAGTGTGATGAAGATCATACCATTGATTTGCTATTATTAAAGTCATTCCTGTTTTTTTGGATTGTGCATTTAGTTTGTTACAATTTACG